TTTTCTCCCAGTCTTTTTTTTCCCTCCCCCCACAGCCCCAGTAGATAGTTGTACATCATAGTTGCACATCCTTCTAGTTGCTGTATGTGGGACGCAGCCTCAGCATGGCCGGAGAAACGGCGCGTTGGTGCGCGCCCGGGATCCGAACCCAGGCCGCCAGCAGCGGAGCTCCTGCTCTTAACCGCTAAGCCACGGGGCCAGCCCTAGATCGTACTTCTTAATGGAGATATTGGAGTTCTGTTTTTTTGGGATGTGGCGTATTCCCAAGTCCTGGGCCACTCTTCTCTTTAATTTTTATCTGAATCTAGTTCAAAGAGTCTTAACTTTTTGTTGCCTCTAGTCCTTTGTTTAAAACAAGTAACGTATTCTGTATTTGAGATTTTCAATGGCATTCGTATAGCTGATATGACTTCTTTCTTGGTGAGGTCTCACGGGAGAGCTCTGCGGCAGCCCTGTCTTGTGGATTCCTGGGATCACCTGCGGTTGAACGGGTAGGATTTGTTATTTCCAAACTGCGTCCCCTTGGGTGGTTTCCAGCCCCGGCTTTGGCGAGTGCTGTGCTTGGCCTTCCTGGCGTGTGGGGTCTCTTGACCTGGGCTCTGGAGGTGGCATAGGCGCTTCCCCGCCCTGACGACCCCTTCCTCCTCCTCGGTCAGAACTCAGTGGGGACGCGGCACCCCGTTTACCAGGAAGGTGAGGAGGATTTTCTGTGTCTGCTGCTGGAGGATGGACGGCAGCGCCGGCTCCCTGCCTGGTGGCGTGTGTTCCGACATCTGCTCTTCTGTCGCTTCTCTTACACACCCCACTGTGTGTTGTGCAGTTGTGGTTTGACTTCACAAAGCATCTCCTGCTGCTCTGCTGACTGTTGGATTTTCCTTCCCTTTAGAGAGCCCCCGAGCACCTCTTCTGCTGCAGCCCCCTAGTGTCCTGCTCCAATCATCACCTGGGCTTACGCCTCACCATCCGCCCCCACCTCCTGGCTCGCGTCTGCTTCTGCTTCAGTCCTACGCAGCCGTGGGTCCAGATGGGGTCCCCGAAGGAATGTGTCCTGCCTGGACCAGGCACCCCTGCCCCATCTGCGGCTGTGGCCTCCTGTTTGGCCTCCCTGCGGAGTCTTGAGCTCGCCTCTACAAAAGGTCCTGTCTCCCCATCCATCTGTGCTGTCTGAGGCTGTCAGCCCAGCACCGGGTCCCACCCCTTACCCCCTCATCCCACAGCAGGCTCTGGGGTACGTTTCTGGTTGTGTTGGTAGAGGCAAGTGACTTTGCTGGGTGTTCTGTCACAGGTGTTCTCCTGGACACCCTGGGCTGTGGCCAAGTGGCACGTCCAAGGAAGGCAGCCTGTCTGAGAAGCGGGGCTGAACCATTTCGGGATGTCTAGGGCAGCTCCCAAAGGGGCAATTTCTTCTGTTGTTTGTTTCCCATTCCCTTGCAAGTTGCCTGATCTCTGCTTTCTTGGGGTCTTCTCGGGGCCCCATCCTTGGTCATCTCCTCACCTGGACAGAAGACCCCACCTTGGGCTGTCCTCTGGCAGCGAGGCTGTGGCCTGAGACGACCCATCCGGTGGTGCCCGGGAGTCACGGGGGCGGCGGTTGTTCCTGTCTGTCCGTTTCTCCCCCCCGACCCTATCTTGGCTGAGAGGCCCTGGAGCCTTAGTGCCACCACAAGTCCCTCCCTCGGGCTTCACATGAGCAGGTGTCCCTTTTAATATATTGTTTTTTGTGGTCTTTAATTTTTATTTAATACCAATTATTGCTGCTTCTCTCTGCCCCAGAAAATATAGAAGATTAGAAGGCAGACAGTAAAAGCGCCCAATATTTCCCCACTAGGAAAATAATTTTTGTTCCCACGCTGGTGCTCTGCCTTCCATTATGGGCCTTGTTGGTACGTAGGAATCCCGTGTGTCCGGAATCCCATCTGCTTTTTCACTTGGCCCCCACATGTGTTGGTGCTGCGTGCAAGTGTCCACGTGCAGAGCTCGGCTTCGTGCCATTGGGTGTTGGCACATTTGTGCTTTAGAGCTCTTGGAGCCCAGCTTACCCGCTCAGGTGGGTTTTCAGAGTGGATCACACGACGTACCAGTCCTCCCGCCACAGCCTGGGACCCTCGTGCACTGAATGCTTTCTGCTCCTTTTGTAAGTGACAAGTTGCTCCCTTCGCTTTGTACGTCTTGAGGTTGTTTAATGTGTGTGTGTGTTTGCATGTGCCATTCCTCCGCTCATGGGCTTCTTCAGCTTGTTAAAATCATCCATTCCCATCTAGTGTTCTGAGGCGCGTCCTCCAGGATGCAGAGATGTGGCCCTGGCCTGATTCCCTGTCCTCTGGTGAAGAGCTGCCCTGCCCGGGCTGGGCAGAAACCCTCTTAAGCCCCTGCCTTCTTAATCTCACCCCTGTCTTTTCTCTCTCTCACCATTTTAACCTGGACGTTAAGAAGAAGGTACATCTTGAACATCTGGTTTCCCATATTCAGTTCAAAAGGAAAGTTGTTGGGGCCGGCCCAGTGGCGCAAGCGGTTAAGTGCGTGCGCTCTGCTGCGCACTGCTGCGGTGGCCCAGGGTTCGCCAGTTCGGATCCCGGGTGTGCACCGACGCACCGCTTGGCAAGCCATGCTGTGGCGGCATCCCATATAAAGTGGAGAAAGATGGGCACGGATGTTAGCCCAGGGCCAGTCTTCCTCAGCTAAAAGAGAGGAGGATTGGCGGATGTTAGCTCAGGGCCGATCTCCTCACCAAAAAAAAAAAAAAAAAAAAAGTTATGAAAAAACAAAACAAAACAAAAGGAAAGTTGTTTCCTTCATAACTGGTTAAGACCTGGTGAGCTGGTAGAGCCCTGGTCTTACCGGGTTAGGCTTCGGTGCCGGCTCCTTCGGGGGGATTGGCTTCTTCATGGGAATCTCCCCGTGGGTGGCTGAGTCAGTCCCGCTCCTCTGCAGTGGGTGGCCCTTGGACTAAGCTGTCTTTCTGCCAACGAGGGCTGATAAGGTTGATTTCTCACCTTTTCTCTGCCGTCCACTTGAATGGGTGTCACCAGGCCCGGTGGCACGTCCCCAGGCCTCGGCCCAGCCTGGTCGGGCCCTCACGGGGCAGTTGGCACTCACCATCCAGAATGGGTGCACCCACTGAGTGCTCGTGTTTGTGGAGACTGGCCCTCAAGGCTGACACTGCAGCTCTGTGCGGCGGGCGGGGGTTTCTGGTGACAGTTTGAATGATAAATGGTTCAGTGGAGGAAGCAGTTTTCCTCAAAGCAGACACAACGTGACATTTCCTAGCGGGCCTTGAGCAAATCGGTGGAGTCCAGGTGAGGAGTGGGTGCACGTTCAGAGGGCTGAGTTTCTGGAAGGTGCCTAGAATTAGGGTTTCTGCATATCAACTTTTGTCTTTCCCTGAATTCTGATGGAATTGTAGTTCCATGAAGATGTTCTTTGGCCAGTTGATGCCCACGGTTGAGTGTTGACGTGTGCCTGGACTTCGGAGGGGACGGTGGTGTGCATGGGCCGTCGACCTGGGCTTCCCGAAGTCTGGGCTTGGCCCAAGGAGGTGACGGCTGTCCCGGGCTTTGAGAGGAGCGTGTGTAGTCTCTGAGTTGGGCAGGAGGTGCCGGAGGGGGTGGGGGCTGGGTGGCGGATCTGGTCTCCATGGGGCCGTCCTTGCTCTCAGGCATGTTTTGGTTTAGAAAGCTGCACTTTCTGAGCTTCCTTGATCACCCGCCCATGCTGCCCCTCCTAGGTCCCCGGCTCCTGAGCGTCCTCCTCCCGGCCTCGGCTCCCACGCCCTCCTCCTGCCCACTGCTTCTTTCTGGTCTCAGCCGGGCTTCCCGACTGGACTGTGGCCCTCTGCCGGGAAGCCCATCTCCATGGCAACAGTTTCTGAAGTCCTCCAAATGGAAGTCATCTCCCGGGTTCCTGAGGCTCCGCGGCACCTCCTGGTTATTTCCTTCGAGAATGACCATCTCAAAGGCTGTACTTGTTTAAAAAGTTATTTTTTTCACATTCTTGTAATGTATATTATATGAACGTCATAAAAAATCAGAAAATCCAAATAAGCAGAACTTAAAAAAAAATTAGTTATCCCTGTTGTTGCTCCTTGGAGATGCCGTAAATTGTGATGAAATCCTTTCAGATGTTTCATACAGACTGAGCATGCACAGAAACTTTTAATACACAGAAAGTGTGTATTTAAAACTTTCTATTTTACAAACTTTTAAAAATAGTGTAACAAACCTACAGAAAAGTGCTGACGTAAGTGCATATATAGCTTGATTATCACAAAGTATATGGACCCATGATCCCATGACCTGCCCTTTCTAGAACCTTTCTCAGGGACTGTCCCACCTGCCTGAGGGGAGGTCACCAGATCCTAGTCTCACCTGTTTTTGAACTTGACATAAATAGAACTATACCCGTGCATCATTCTCCCATATGTATATATACACACACATGAACACACACATATATCTGTATATGTATAAGAATGGGTTCATTCTCTGGGCCCTATTCTGTAACCTTTTTCATTTATCAGGAGACACATTTAACCTCTGTATCTGTAAATACAGATCTTCCTTGTTTTCTTAGAAATGGCTGTACGGTATTCCGTGGTCTGGAATGTATCCCACTGTATTCAACCATCCCACTATTGTTGGACATTTAGGTTGTTTCCATTTTATTTTGAATTATAAACAGTACTTTTATATGCAGTAGCTAAAATCTTCTGTGCATCCTTCATTATTTCCTCAACATAAATTCCTGGGAAAGGGTTGGCTGGGTCAGAGGGCACAGGTTTTCCTGGTTGCCCTTCGGCCCCAGTGAGTCCTTGGGCGTGTGACTCAGTGCTAGCCCCCTCCCAGGGGCACTGGGTGTTCTGGGCGAATAGGCTGCCCATGGGGCTCCAGCTCTGTGCTGCTGAGGATGGCCCCAAGCTGCCGGCCCCTCTCCACAGCCACCACCCTCAACCCTGGCTTTGGGTGGGTACTAATCAGATTTTGCTTTATTTCCCAATAGCGTTGTGTGGTGCTGCGTTTTCTGAAGTTTCCTCCAAACAGGAAGAAGGTAAGATCTGTGGGTTTGCCACGCAGTCATTAAAACAATTATTTAAGAAAACTTTGATTTTTTTTTTCCTGATGCAGAAGTATTAATGCTAATTGTAGAAATTTAGATATGACACAAGCTCAGTGCAGAACGTGGTGTGTCCATCATTCCTGCAGGACCCAGTGCTTTGACCTGCTGGGTCACCAGGGGTCACCGTCATGAGTCCCTGGGTGCTGAGCCAGGAGCCGCCCTGTCCAGTTCAGAGAGCCTGCTTGTGGCTGGGACACCCAGGGCTAGGTCTCACTCAGCTTTGCAGTGGCAGTTTCCTTACACTCTGCTGCCTCAGTTTCCCTATCTGTGGAATAATATCTATGAAAATGAAGTCTTGAACGCCGTGGTAGACAGTGTCACAAGTCACAACAGGCAGTTCAGATGGAGCATTGGATTTTACTCGCTGAGAAACCGGAGCCAAGTGCCGGGGACGCCCTCAGAAGCTGGAGCTGTTCTGTGGGGTGCCCCTGACCGCAGGGCAGAAGTGTCTGTCCCTCGAGGAGGGGTGTTGCTGCGGCGTGTCTAAACCTCAGAGGTCAGGGGTGGATGTGGAGTGGGCCTGTGGGAGCCTTCCTCTCTCAGGGTCCGGGGGGAGGGAGAGGGGCAGGGAGGTGCAGAGAGGCTGGGTGTGAGCCCCTCCAGAGCATGGGCTCTTATCTTAAAAGGGGAGAAGAGGCAGGAGCCCAGGTCACACCGCACACAGTGGGGCGGCCAGTGGTGGTGAGTGGAATTGGGCTCGAGATGAGGGTGTAGGAGGTGAGTCACCGCCTTGTCCATGTCTGCGTCAGGGAGAGACAGCCAGGAAGGAACTGAGGCAGCCTGCTGGCTGTGGATGCGAAGGGCTTCCTAGAAAGAGAGGAGGGGACTGTGGGGGAGCCGGGGCTGCTGTGAGGTCTGGGGACTGGCGCTCCATGCCAGTGCCAGGACAGGACGGTGCAGGTGGAGGCCACCCAAGCTTGGAGCGTTTCCCGCCTCAGCTGCCGAGAGAATCTCGCGAGTGGTTCCAACGATCCTGCCAATGATCCTGCAGTGCATCCGAGTGGAAACTCAGACTCGAAAGGGCTTGGACGGCCTCCGGCCTCCCTCCTGTGCCGCTCAGCATCTCCGGAGCCCGGCTGGGGGAGGGCCAGTGTTTCCTGGACGCTTCTCAGCTTTTCCTGTTTACATTTATTGAGGCAAGGCCTTCCAGGGCAACCATTTCCCTTATTATCTAAACGGCTCAGTAAATATATATAAATGGTGGGGAATCATGTGTGGTAGTTCTGTCAGAAGCTCTGTGGCTGCACCTGTGCGGAGCCCCTGGATGTGTTGTGGGGTTTTCTGTCGGGCTTTGCTCTAACATAGTTGCGTTGCACATGCTCCAGGCCGTGGTCTACATGTGTCATGGGGCTTGAGTGGCAGCTCAGTTGGGACCTTCCTGGAGACCGAGCTGTGTGTCAGGCCCTCCTGGCCTGCCCTTGACAAGGACAGCCCCCTAGCTGCTGAGAGACCTGCCATCGCCCCTTGGACTTCTCAGTGCCCAGGGTCAGGGTGAGGGATGCAGGGCCGATTTTCTGTCTCACCCAAATCTCACAGCTTATTGGCTCTTAAGGAACATCTGACTGGGGAGAAAAAATTTTATTCTACATTCAGAGGCTGGAGAATAAAATCTAAATACCTAGTGGTTTTTGGCAGGAGACATTTTCAAAGTTAAATTCCTCAGAAGGCGTGCATGGGCCACTGGTGGGATCTTGTGTGTTCCTGGGGGAGGTGGGGGCGCAGACATGGTCCTCAGACTGATGGCTCAGAATCACGCTGGGCCGGGTAGGATGCAGGAGTGGGCCTGGGGGCCGTGGGCGGAAGCTCTGGCAGGTCCAGCAGTCTCTGTGGCCAGGCTTGCGTTCCTCTGAGTCCAGGGCCACCTGTTTCTGTTTGTGGCCGTGGACACGGCAGCCCTGCGTGTGCCGGGGCTCGTGTAGGTGTCTGAGCTGCTCCCTCAGGGGCCGCGGGTACTGAGGCTTCCTGTGCTTCTCTTTTACAGACCTCGGAGGAGATCTTTCAGCACCTACAGAGCATAGTGGACTTCGGCAAAAGTGTCATGAAAGAGTTTTTGGGGGAGAACTATGTTCATTGTGGGGTAAGTGATTTTTGTTCATGTGGCCTAAGTTCACGGGCATGTTCTGTATGAGTGACACCAGCTTCTCAGTGCAGCGTGGGACTCTGTGCTCAGTGCTGCTGCGCGCGTCCCTCAGAGTCCCAGGCCCTTTTCTCACTCGCTGCACTGTGAGGGGGCGCAGCAGAGGGCGCTATTCCCGTTTTCCAGCTGAGAGGAATGAGGTTCAGAGACTGTCTGAGACCCCGTCCTGCTGGGAGCCCAGTCCCCACCACCCGCCCTTGTGGAGGCATCCAACTTGCTGAGGGCTCTCCAGGGAGGCCCACACGCACCACGACTCTGCTGGGACAGCGCCTTCCCCCTCCAGAGAATGGTCTGTGTTGCTGGCTCTTTCTGGCCTTGGTAACTGAGAGGAGTGCCTGTTACAGGTGAGGTCCGCTGTTCGGACACGCAGGGAGTGGGCAGCACAGGAGGCCACAGTGGCCCTGCAGGCCTGGAGTCCCTCAGAGCGGGTGGCTCGGTCCACGCCTGGGACGGCCGTTCTTACGTCTTGGCTTTGATGGCCGCTGCTTCTCTGCTTCTGCTGGCCTTGCCGTTTGTCTTAGATCAGAGCCCTGGACAGACGAGCAGGTTTGTCATTTTGAACAGAGAGGACTGTCTCTGTTTTGCAAAGATTGTGCCTTATGTCCATCCTGAGACAGAAGATACTGAGGGGGTCGAGTGAAAGTTTCATCGAAGCTTCAGGATTGCCTGCCACAGTAGGTCTTAAACGGCTCTGAAACATCCTCCGGGGAGGGTCGTTTGATGGCTTGGGATGTACTGTGGGTGGTGCTGCTGCAGGTCCCTCGGGGCTGCAGACCTTCTTCCAGGGTGGCTTAGCTGTGGAGCTGGCAGGTTGGTGCTGCCTGTTCGCTGGGGGCCTCAGCACCTCCAATGTGGACTCACCACCGGGGCTCTGAGTGTCCTTGTGGCTCATCCCTGGCTCCCCCAGCACGCAGTCTGGGAGATGACCTGGCCTGGAGTTGTGTCAGTAATTTCCATGGCATCCTGGTGGCTTTGCAGGTCAGCCTAGGCAGTGTGGGACTACACAGGGGTGAGAGTCACTGGGGTCATCCTGGGGGTGGGCACCACCCCCCCTGAGGCCCCCAGCTGTCCAGTTGACTTGTGAAAGCCTGAAAGGCACCAGCTGTGAGAGTCCCCACAGCTCTGAGCCGCCTGTGTAGGCGCCACCTGCTTCTTGGCCTGGACGGTCTGTGAATGCGGGTGTGCCGACTCCCAGCATCCTTGAGGGAGCGTGCCCGTCTGGCTGAGTGGGAGCATTTCTCTGTTTCACAGCAGTAGGGGGCTCTAGACTTTTCTCCTGGGAGGGGTCAGCAGTGAAGAAGGGTGGTGGGGAGCTGGGGGTTCCAGCTGATGGTGGCCTGGCAGGTGGGAACAGCATCAGTGTGTCCCCTGGGGCCCAGGGCATGCTGTGGCTCCAGGACTGGTTCTGTTTGTCCACATTGGATGGGGCTCTGGGTGTACGAGGTGAGCCTACAAGGTCACATTTCAAGAATTTCTGTCCCATCGACAGCTCCTCTGCATGAAGACACCACCGAAGTGAAACACACCCTGCTCTTCCTCCAGGTGGATGTGGTGTCCCTAGAGGACTGCCACTCTGGCCCTGGACGGTTGAAATGTGGCACTCAGAGCGCATCTCTGGCCCGCAGAGGGCCACGTTCAGGCAACACCAGCGTGGGTAAACAGTGTTGTTTTCTCTGACACTGACATGAGTTAGGGCAGTGAAGCCCTGGCGAGAGCACTTCCCTCCTCTGTGTTCTGGGACAAGACATAACCAGCCCAGCGGTGAGAGTGCAGGGCCCAGAGAGAGTGACAGATGCACCCTTTGTGCCCGCGCTGCCTCTGGCCCTGCCCGGCTGGTTTGGGGACTGATCTGGGCCTATCTCCACGTGAGCTGGAGGTCAGAAACGGGAAGAGGATGTTCCCCTGTGCCTCCAGGTGTTTTTGTCGTTAAGTACCGGGGGTAGCTGTGACACTGATGGAATTTTAGAAGTTCACCTTGTTTTTGTGGACCTCGTCCTCCCGAGGCTGCACACCACCCAGGCAGCCTCAACTTCACATCTGACCTTGATGTGATGGAAGCATTGGCGGGGTCGTGGCGCATGATGAGTAGGAGCATTCTGTTCTCCTAAGGGAGTGTCTAGAAAACTGTAGACTTGCTGCTCACCTTCTTAGCCCCTCCAGAATGGCGGCTCTTTGTCCTTCTCTGCAGCCATCCCTTTCAGGGCATATGCCCATTAGCAGGGAAGCTGGTGTGGCCACGCCTTCCAAGTTACACTTCTGTGAGAGGAATTCTGTGGCCTTAACTATGTTCTTCCTAAGTGAATACTTTGTGCAGATGCTGGCCGAGGGCCCTGCTGATGATCGCCACCCTCCCAGGTCGCGTAGGAGCTGTCTGTTCCTCCATCTGTCAGGCAGGATGGCATGGTTCTCACTGGTTCACGAATCTGAATCAAGGGTTGGTAAATGTAGTCAAATGTTAAGAAGGATGTCTACTATAAACATTCTGACTTAAAACACAAATGGAACTCCTAAAATCAGGAATTTGAAGTTGTTTAAAGAAATGCAGTTCTACTTTTTACCTTGGTTACTGTGGACTTAGGCCCAAGCAGTAGCAGACGCTGTGTCGAGAGTAGTTGAGTCACTGTCGGCTCTGGACTTGATCCCGTTTGCTCCCCTTCATGTTTCTGTCATGCCCTTGATGACTCCTGTGTCGGCCACGACTTCTTTTCCCAGCGGGTGAGCGTTGGAATGCCTACTGTGCATTGACCAAGGTGTGTGTGGTTACCGTAACCTCCCAGTCTTGCTCTCGTGGTGCATGAGGCCAAGGTGTTTCTCTGAGAGAGGATCTTGGTGCGTTTCTTTATCTTTCTTGCCACAGCATCCATCTGTCACCTGCACACTTGTACTTTTGGTTACTTTAAAGTGGAATGAGAACTTGGATTTTGTGAGATGATCTACATTTTGAATTTTCAAATTTTTATAATTCCCACTCTTTTTCATTGTTTCACTTTACCTAATTCAAGACTAAATTTTTTAGTAACTCACCTTTTATCAGTTTATAGCACGTTTACGTAAGTGACAAAATAACGAGTTAAGTTGGCACAGCAGATTGGGAAGCAAATGATCGACTGGACCAGGGTGGACTGCAGAGTCATGTCTGTGTGACAGGGTGGCCACGGGCCAGTGAGGGTGCATCCACGTGACAGGGCATCCATGGGCTGGCGTGGGTGCATCCATGTGACAGGGCAGCCATGGGTCAGTGAGAGTGCATCCACGTGACAGGGCATCCACGGGCCGGTGAGTGTGCGTCCACGTGACAGGGCATCCATGGGCCAGTGAGGGTGCAGCCACGTGACAGGGCATCCATGGGCTGGTGAGTGTGCGTCCACGTGACAGGGCATCCACGGGCCAATGAGAGTGCGACCATGTGACAGGGCATCCACTGGCCGGTGAGCGTGCATTCACGTGACAGGGCATCCATGGGCTGGCATGGGTGCATCCATGTGACAGGGTAGCCATGGGTCAGTGAGTGTGCGTCCACGTGACAGGGCATCCATGTGCTGGTGAGGGTGTGTCCATGTGACGGCAGCCACAGGCTGGCGTGGGTGCGTCGACGTGACAGGGCTCCACAGGCTGGCATGGGTCCATCCATGTGATATGGCAGCCATGTGACAGTGTGGGATGGAGAAGGCACAATGTGTCAGCTGACAGGATCCTGGCATTCTCATTCTAGGCAGGTCTTTTATGTCACTGTGGGACTTCTTCAGAAGTTAGAATTCTGCCATCCTGGAAACATGGGCAAGATGGTGGATTAAATAAAAACTCTTAGTTTGGGAAATTGCAAAGAAACAGGAAAGTGGAGAGAGGTTGCTCTTTGTTTTTAGCCCAAATGCACTGAATCTTGTCCCTGAGTCCCATGGCTGATGGGCGCACAGGATGTCTCGCTGGAGATTAACATGCGATCACCCTTTTCCGTGAGCTGCTGCTCAGGTGGGAGTGTGGGAAGCCTCAGGTTGTCTGAGGAGACAGCTGGTGAGGAACATTTGCGCAGGCAGAGAACTGCCTTAGGCCCTGCCCTGCCGACCCCAGACATCACAAGGATAAGGACAGAGATGAGGTCGCTGTGAGGGCAGAGGAGGAGCTGCGTGAGGGGCACTCTGTGCAGACCGATTGTGGGTGACTTGGAGCATGCTACTGGTCACCACTATCGTGGCCACCAGCTGCTCTGAGGAGGGCCTGTCACTCTTAGCACATGGAAATGTCAGCGTCTCTATTTAATCTGGACAAGTCCTTAAAGTGAAAGAGTGGCTTTTATTCCTAAAACCCACATACTGAGTATTTTTGTTTAATGTGGTAAGATATATGTAACATAATATTTACCATTTTAACCATTTTTACATGTTCAGTTCTGTGGCATTAAGTACGTTCACATTGTTGTAAAGCCCACACTGAGTATTTTGTATTTGTTCTTACAGGAAGTTGTTCAGCTGCCTTTAGATTTTGTGAAACAGCTTTGTTTAAAGATACAGTCTGAAAGACCAGGTAAGGGTTTCTAACTTATGAATTTTGTTTGTAATTTAAAATATTCCATTTGAGGGGCTGGCCCCATGGCATAGTGGTTAAGTGCGCGTGCTCTGCTGCTGGCGGCCTGGGTTTGGATCCCCGGTGCGCACCAATGCACAGCTTGTCAGGCCATGCTGTGGCAGCGTCCCATATAAAGTGGAGGAAGATGGGCACAGATGTTAGCTCAGGGCCAATCTTCCTCACAAAAAAATAAAATAAAATAAAATAAAGTATTCCATTTGAGAAGTATTTGACATTATCACTCTGGTAGATGTAGTTTTCAGTAATTCTTTTGCCCGAGACTTACTATTGGGATGGAAACCCTAGGAGCTTGTGAATACAATTCTGGGCATCAGATATCCCGATCACTGCAGAGAATGTATGACCAAGAACTAACTGATAAAAACAAAGATGCATTTGGGAGAGTGAGAGGGAGCTGAAGGAGTTGTTGGGGGGAGGAGGAGGGGAATGTAGGGAAGGGAATGGGTGGGCTGCAGGTGGCCTGGAGAAGTCAAAAGGAAAACCAGGGTGGACCTGAGCCATGGAGTGTGAGCCAGGCGCTAGCGGGTCTGCAGCTCTGAGGGTCTTCTCCCAGAAGCTGGAATCCACCCAGCCTGCTTATCTTCCTGGGGGAAGGTGGGAGAGGTGAATTTTTGTGGGCCATACCTCCCCTATCCCCTATGTACCTCCCTGGCATCACCTCTTGTACCCTCCCCCCATTGCCTCACGTATCCCCCCATTGCTTCGCGTACTTCTCCCCATCGCCTCAGTACCCTCCCCCACCATCGCCTCACATACACTCCCGCCCATCGCCTCTCCTACCTCCCCCCATCACCTCACATACCCTTCCCCCATTGCCTCAGGTAGTTCGCCCCCATCATCTCAGTACCCTCCCCCGCCATCGCCTCACGTACCCTCCCCCCATCGCCTCAGTACCCTTCCCCCATCACCTCACATACCTCCTCCCCCATCGCCTCAGTACCCTCCCCCACCATCACCTCACATACACTCCCGCCCATCGCCTCTCCTCCCCCCCCCCGTCACCTCATGTACCCTTCCCCCATTGCCTCAGGTACTTCGCCCCCATCGTCTCAGAACCCTCCCCCGCCATCGCCTCAAGTACCCTTCCCCCATCGCCTCACGTACCTCCTCCCCATCGTCTCACGTACCCTTCCCCCATCGCCTCATGTACCTCCCCCCATCGCCTCAGTACCCTCCCCCACCATCGCCTCACATACACTCCCACCCATCGCCTCTCTACCTCCCACCCATCACCTCACGTACCCTTCCCCCATTGCCTCAGTACCCTTCCCCCATCGGCTCATGTACCTCCCCCCGCATCACCTGACGTACCTCCTCCCCCATGGCCTCACGTACCCTTCCCCCATCGCCTCAGTACCCTTCCCCCATGGCCTCACGTACCTCCCCCCATTGCCTCAGTACCCTTCCTCCATCGCCTCACGTACCTCCACCCCATCACCTCACGTAGCTTCCAACCTTCTCTGCCATCGCCTACTTACTTCTTTCTCCATCACCTCATGTACCTTAATTGCATTTGCTCATTTGGTAATGACAGCAACCAGGTCAAAGCCATTCCTTTTACAGTCAAAGACAAAGACATAAAGTGTATATAGTTTATGGAATTGCATCCTCTTAACACATATCAGGCACTCGGGGTGTACAGTTGCCAATATAAAAATCCTTCCTTATTTGATGAGGAAAGTTAAAGCAAGCAGGACACTGTGCCCTGGAGCCTCCGGTTTGGGGAGCAGTGAGGGCAGGGCTCCATGTGTGGAAAGGGCCAATGAGGGGGAGGGAGGCTGTAGCCAGGTTCCCAGCTGGGACTGTGTCTGGGATTTTTCTTCACCTAGAGGCAGACAGACTGAGGCTTGCTCTGGAGTCTGCCATCCAGCTGCCAGTGCCCCTTACCGTCATCATTTTATCTTATATTTAGCATATAAATTTATGCTACTTGATAGTAATAACTGTCCCCCATTGTGATAATGACTTGTTATCAGCCTCATTAGGTGAAAGGAAAGCCAGCTTCCCCTGGGGCCTGGAGGGCCACGACTTATGTGACTGTCCACACTGCGGCTTCTAGCAGTCAGTGCTGAGAGAATAGCAGTGTTTGAGTTTTCTGAAGGAACTAGCTTTGTGAGGAAGGTAGAGGCTGCTCCTCCTTCCTCTCTGAGCGCCTCTATTAAGGGAGTCGCAGAATTGGGGGACGGTCTCTGAGACCACCCTCACTTCTGCTGACAGTTGTACTTTTGGGTTCCCCAAAACCAACATCAGGTCTGATGATTTGCTAGAAGGACCCACAGAACTCACTGTTATCCTTATGGTTATGGCTTATCACAGCTAAGGGACACGACTAAAACCAGCTGAGGTTAGAGGCGCTAGGGCGGGTCTGGGAGAGGCCCGGCATGAGCTTACAGGTGTCCTCTCTCCCTGGAGTCATGCGGATAGAGCTTACTTCTCCCAGCAATGATGTGTGACCACACACACAGAGGAACGCCAACCAGGGAGGCTCCCCAAGCCTTGGTGTCTGGGTTTTTGTTGGGGCTTGGGCATGTAGACACACTGACCGCCATTGGGGTGGCCCTCAACCTCCAGCCTCTACAGAAGTCGAGCTGATACTGCAGGGCCCAAACCCCTACCATCGAGACTGTGTGACTCACAGTCTCCACGCAAACTCGGACAGTCCTCAGGCAGGACGTCCCCAGGCTTAGAAGCGACCTCTCAGGAGCCAGAGGCCAAGGCTAGCCCTCTCTTGGTCAAGGGTGACTCCTCCCCCACAGGAGTCTGCCACATTGCCACGGGGTCACCTACTCTCACATTGATCCTCAGGTGTTTTCCTTGCTCTCTTTTCCAGAATCTCGCTGTGACAAGGACCTGGACACTCTCAGTGGTTATGCTCTGTGCCTTCCCAATTTAGCCAGACTTCAGACCTACCATTTTGCAGAGCACCGGCCCATTCTGTGTGTAGAAATCAAGGTGAACTTCTGTTAAGGGAGAAAAGGTGTGGGGAGAAGGGAATCCGTAAGTCAGCTGCCTGGAGAGCACTTTCCCACAGAAGCTCCTGGTGTTCCCCATGCTGGGCCGCCTGTCCCCTTCTTGGGCCCAGGCAGCCCCCCAGCTGCCAGAGACTCAGCCTCCTGCTCCTTCCCTGTGTGCCACCATCACCTTGCTGCTCTGGCTTGTCCCACTGGCCAGACCCAAGGGGCATGGCTTCCCAGACCCCCAGGTGTAGGCCCATGACAGGGAGTCAGCCAGGGACAGACTCAGGCCGATGGCCACCGGAAGGAAATATGTAGGGTTCTGCCCCCCTGTTTTCCTTGGAGGGTACAGCTCACCAGATCCCCCCTGAGTTCCTTCCCAGCTGTGCCCCCTTGGCTGCTTGGTGACACTGCACACCAGGTCCCAGGAGCTCACTTCAAGGGTCACCTGTTAGAGTGGCTGGCACTCTGTTCCTTTGCTTCTGTCCTGCTCAGGAGAGACCTCCCTAGAGGGACAGAAGCCCCTGTGACTCTCAAGGCCCTGGTTTATCATCGCCAGGAATCCTGAGGTGGGGGCAACAAAGGGCATCGCTTATCTAGTGGAGGGCAGAGATTGCTAGATAAGGGCCAGGCCCCTGGCTTCAGCTCTGCTGCCCAGCGTCCACGGTGGCTGCCCGAGTCTCCCTCAGGAAGCCCCAGACGTCCAGGCCATTGTTTGTCTCCTTCCTCTGAACCTCTGTGGCGGTGATTTCTGGGTCACGCCCTTGGCCCTGAGCACTCACACCCTAGGCGCTCAGTGTGGACTGATGTTCTGCTTCCCCAACCTGAGAGTGAGTGTCCCGGGCGTCACAAACGACGGGCAGCACGGTCTTTAGTGCCCTGACGCTAAGCATGAGTCCTGCATATTGTACACGTCCAGAAACTGTGGCTTTTGAAAGGCAGCCAGAGTTCCAGATGTTCTGCGAGCCCAGTAACCATCAAGTGGGCACCTCCCTATTCATGCATTCTTGTCAGAGGGAACGGGGTTCTGCTTCTTGGAGCTGGGAGCTCGGGGCTGATCCACACTCCTAGAATCTTTCCAGTCGCGTGCTGTAGTGACAACACAAAGCTACTCTGTGTTGTACTTTGTCAAGCCAGCCATTGAGGCACCACTTTTTTCCCCAGTGAGAATCTGGCTTTGGATTCTCTAGTGGCAAAGAGATATTTATATGATGTGATGAGGGAAGCATCAGGCCCCACTAGGGCCTGAAGATAAAAGCAGCTTTTGGGAATGTTTATATCTGACACTTGCCGAATCTCCTGAGCGTTGTACTTCATTATCTTGTACCATCACGTCACTTAACGATGGGCTATGTTCTGAGAAATGCGTCAGGCGGTTTTGTGGTTGTGTGAACATCACAGAGTATACTTACACAACCTTAGATGGTATAGCCTCCTGCACACCGAGGCTGTGTGGTACTAATCTTATGGGACCACCGTAATATACATGGTCTGTAGTTGACTGAAACGTCCTTATGCGGTGCATGACTAATTATGTGTCTACTTAAAAGTATGTGATTTCTCCTTAAGCATTTTTTTCTTCCTTCCTTGTTTGTTTTGCAGCCAAAATGTGGGTTTATTCCTTTCTCCAGTGATGTTACACATGAGATGAAGCATAAGGTGTGTCGTTACTGCATGCACCAGCACCTCAAGGTGAGAAGAGCGGCCAGCCCAGGTTCCGTCATGCACAGAGCCGTGCATGGGTTGGGCCGAGGTGGTTGGACCGAGGTGTGACCACCTAGAGTTTTCAGAAGAATAAAGAAAATAGATATTTATTAATTCTTTTTCACAAGTAATTCGTATTCACCTTCTTTTTTTTAAGTTGAGGTATAATTCACATACCTTAAGATTCACCCTTTATAAGGAGTATAATTCAGTGGATTTTAGTATATTCACAAGGTCGTGCAACTATCACCACTATCTAATTCCAGAACATTTTCATCACCTCAAAAAGAAATCCTATCCCCATTAGCAGTCATTCTCCAATCCCCCATCCTGCCAACCCCTGGCAACCACCTGTCTGTGTGGATTTGCCTGTTCTGGACATCTCATGTCAATGGAATCACAAAATATCTGGCCATTTGTGACTGGCTTCTTTCACTTGGCATAATGTTTTTGAGGTTCATCCATGTGGTAGCATGTCAGCACTTCATTCCTTTCATGGCTGATTAATATTCCATTGTACGGGGATATTTGTCATCCGTTCATCTATGGATGGACTTGTGGGCTGTTTCCACCTTTTGGCTGTTGTGAACATGTGTGTACATGTACTTGTTTGAGTCCCTGTTTTCAGTTCTCTTAGGTAGATTCCTAGGAGTGGAATTGCTAGGTCTTAGGGAAATTCTATGTTTACCTTTTTGAGGAAACACAGATTGTTTTCCACAGCTGTTGCACTCTTTTGTGTTCCTACCAGCAATGTATGCGGGCTCTAATTTAGCCACATCCTCGCCAGCCCTTGTTCTTGTCCCTGTTTGTGATTATAGTCATCCTAATGGGTGTGAGGGGGTGTCTCATTGTGGTTTTGATTTGCATTTCCCTGATGGTTAGTGATGTTGAGCATCTTTTCATGTGCTCATCAGCCACATGTTTATCGTCTTTGGAGAAATGTCTATTTAAGTCCTTTGCCCATTTTTGAATTGGGTTGTTTTTTTGTTGTTGAGTTTTAGGGGTTCTCTATATATGCTGTATATTGATCTCATCAGATATGTGATTTGCAAATATTTTGTCCCATTCTGTTGGTTGCCTTTTTACTCTGTTGATAATGTCTTTTTATGCACAAAAGTTTTTAATTTTGATAAACTTAAATTTATCTACTTTTTCTTTTGTTGTCTCTGCTTTTGGTGTCATATCTAAGAAATCTTTGCCTAATCCAATGTCATGAAGCTTTTCCCCTATGTTTTCTTCTAAGAGTTTTATAGTTTTAGCTTCTAGGTCCTTAATCTGTTTTGAGGTAATTTTTGTATATGGTGTGAGGAAGGGGTCCGACTTCATTTTTTTTGCCTTTGGATATCCAGTTTTCCCAGCACCATTTGTTGAAAAGACTGTCCTTTTTCCATTGAATGGTCTTGGCACGCTTGTTGAATATCGTTCGACCACATATGTAAGGGTGTTTTTCTGGATTTTCTGTTCTATTCCATTGGTGTATATATCTGTCTTTTTGCCAGATCACACTGTTTTGATTACTATAGCTTTGTAGTAAGTTCTGAAATCAGGAAATGTGAGTCCTCCAGCTTTGTTCTTTTTCAAGATTGTTTTGGCCATTGGGGACCCTTATAATTACATATGAATTTGGATTTTTCATTTCTTCAAAAAAAAAACTGTTGGAATTTTGACAGAAATTGCAAGAATCCGTAGATCACTTTGGGTAGTATTGCCATCTTAACAATATTAAGTCTTATAATCCATGAACACAGGCTCTCCTTCCATTTATTTAGATCTTCTTTAATTTCTTTAAGTGACATTTCATAGTTTTCAGTGTACAAGTCTTTCACTACTTGGGTTAAATTTATTTCTGGGTATCTGATTCTTTTGGAATATTGTAAATGGAATGTAAATGGAATTGCTTTCTTAATTTCCTTTTCGGATTATTCATTGTTGGTGTATAGAAACACAACTGAGTTTTGTGCATTGATCTTGTACCCTGCAACTTTGCTGAATTGGTTTATTAGTTCTAGGAGCTTTCTTGTAGGTTACTTGGAATTTTCTGTGTATAGGATCATGTCATCTGTGAATTGAGAGTTTTACTTCTTTCTTTCCAATTTCAATGCCTTTAGCTTCTCAGTTTCCTCAGCTGGGATGTTGATAGGGATCCTATTGAATTGCAGATTAATTTGGAGGTATTGCCACCTTAACAGTATTAATAATCTGTGAATACAGGATGTTTTTCCATTTATTTAGGTCTTTAATTTCTTTTAGCGGTGTTTTATAGTGTTCAGTGTATAAATCTTATACTTCCTTTGTTAAATTTATTCTTAACTATTTTATTTTTTTGGATGCTACTGTAAATGGAATTTTCTTTTATTTCATTTTTAGTTTATTTATTGCTTTGACATACAATTGACTTTATAATATATATATCTTTAATTGTGGTGAAATACATATAACATAAAATTTGCCATCTTAACCATTAAGTGTACAGTTAAGTGGCATTAAGTACATTCACACTATTGTGTAGCCATCACCAGCATCCACCTCCAGAACTTTTTTCATCTTGCAAACCTGAAACTCTATACATTAAACAACTCTACATTTCTTTCTTTCCCCAGCCCCTGGCAACCACCATTGTATTTTCTATCTCTATGAATATGACTACTGTAGGGACTTCATATAAGTGGAATCATACAGTATCTCACCTTTTGTAACTGGCTTATTTCACTTAGCATAATGTTTTCAAGGTTCAACCATGCTGTAAGATGTGTCAGAATTTCCTTCCTTTTTTAAGGCTGAATAATATTCCACTGAATGTATATACCACATTTTGTTTACCCATTCATCTGTTGATGGACACTTGGGTTGCTTTTTACCTTTTGGCTACTGTAAATAATGCTGCTATGAACATGGATGTACAAATATCTCTTTGAGACTCTGCTTTCAATTCTTTTGGGTATATACCCAGAAGTAGAATTGCTGGATCATATGGTAATTCTGTTTTTAATTATGAGAACCACCAGACTGTTTTCCATAGCGGCTGCACCATTTTACATTCCCACCACAGTACATAAGAGTTCTGATTTCCTCACATCCTCAGCAACACTTGTTATTTTCTGTTTTTTGATAGTAGCCATCCTAATGGGTGTGAGGTGAGAAATGAAATTGATTTTTGTATATTGATTGATCTTTTATCATGTCATCCTTGATGAGCTTGTTTATTTGCTCTAATTTTTTTTTCTTTTGGTGGTTTCTTAGGATTTTCTGTACACATGATCAGATCACTTGTAAATAGAGATAGTTAGAGATAGTTTCACTTCTTCCTTCCAATCTGGATGCCCATTATTTGTTTTTCTCCCCTAATTGCTCTGGCTAGAATTTGCAGTACAATATTGTATAGAAGTAGCAAGAGTGGACATCCTTATCTTGTTTCTGATTTTCACCATTTTCAGTTTTTCACCATTGAGTGTAATTATTCACTGTGAGTGTGTCATAGATGTTATTTTGAGTGTTTTTTTTTTTTTTTAACTCATAAAAGAATGTTGGATTTTGTCAAATGCTTGTCCTGCATGGATTGAGATGATCAGGAGGTGATCTCCTCTTTCTATTAATCTGGTGTAGTATGTTGATTGATTTTCATATGTTGAACCACCCTTGTATTTCTAGGATAAATCCCACTTGATTATACATGGATAATCCCTTTAATGTGCTGCTGAATTTGGTTTGTTAGTTTTTGTTGAGGATTTTTTCTTAAGGGATCTTGGTCTGTAGTTATCTTTTCTAGTGATGTTTTTGTCTGGTTTCGGTACCAGGGTAATGACTGTCTTTATAGAATGAATTAGTAAGTGTTTCCTTCTCTCCACTCTTCAATTTTTTAGAAGAATTTGAGTATTGGTGTTGATTCTTCTTTAAACATTTGGTAGAATTCACTAGTGAGGCCATCTGGTCCTGAGGTTTTCTATGTTGGAAGATTTTTGATTACTGATTTAGTCTTTTGTTATTGGTCTGTTCAGATTCTCTATTCTTGAGTCGGTTTTGGTAGTTGTGTGTTTCTAAGAATTTGTCGACTTATGGTTGTTCATAGTATTCCTCTAAAATTCTTTTTATTTCTGCAAGGTTGCTAGTTACGTCCATTCTTTCATTCCTGATTTTAGTCATTTGAGACCTGTCTTTTTTTTCTTGATCTGGCCAAAGGATTATGATATATGTTGATTTTTCAAAGAAACAACTTTTGGTTTTGTTCACTTTCTCCATTTTTTCCTATAATTCTCTATTTCATCTATCTCTGCTCTAATGTTTCCTATTTCCTGCCCTCTGCTTATGCTGGATTTAGTTTGGTCTTATTTTTCTAGTTTGTTAGGGCAGAAAATTAGGTTACTGATTTGAGATCTTTCTGCTTTTTTTTTTTTAAGTGATGTTTTAATAGTTTATAACATTATGAGATTTTGGGTTGTACATTTTTGTTTGTCCATCGCCATATATATGTCTCCCTCTACCCCCATTGCCCTTGGTAACCACAGTATAGTTTTCTCTGTCCGTGTGTTGGTTTATATTCCACATATGAGTGAGATCATACGGTGTTTGTCTTTCTCGTTCTGGCTTATTTCGCTTAACATAATACCCTCCAGGCCCGTCCATGTTGTTGCAAATGGGACGATTTTGTCTTTTTTTATGGCTGAGTAGTATTCCATTGTATATATACACCACATCTTCTTGATCCAATCATCA